CAACACTCGAGCCCTAGGTCTTCCCCGGGACAAGTGTCAACAGCCCACGTCCTCATCATCAACCCTTCCCGTGAAAAAAACGAAAAGCGTAGCTCATCTTCAACCCACTCCGGCACTCCCCATATTTATATAAGACGCATGAACCACACAAATTAATAAATCATTTATTTCTTTTAAATTTCTCACTAGAATTTATATAATTATCTGCTATATATAAGCATAATAGTTATGTTGGCAGTGGTGTGTGTGGATAAAGGTAGAGTTTTGGAGATGGGTCGGGAGAGTTTTGTGAATACAGCGGCGGCGGCGGCGGCAGCGAAGGTGGCGGTGGTGGAGAAGATGAAAGGGAGGAGCTGTGAAGTGCGTGCTCACAGTCAGATTCTGAGGATCAGAGCTGAAGATTCGCATGTGGGAGAGGATGTGGCCAATTTCATGCTCTTCTCTCGGCCAATATTACCGGCTTCGCCACTTGGCGGTAAGAATTTGGATTTGAGGAATGATATTAAAAAATCATAAAAAAAATGTTACAGTCCCGTTACGGAATCGTCCCGTCGGGATTTTAATCGTTCGATCATCATGAAACCGTCGTTAATAGTTGATCCAACAGTTACAAACTCCAGTTTGACGGAATGGTTCCCTAACTAACGAGGACTATAGAATCTCCCATTTTCTTTATCATTTCCTTTTTCCTTTGCTTTTCTTCTGTTTAGGTTTAAGCAGAGTGGAATGAGAAGTTACGTGTGGGGCGACTATGGAATCGAAGTCCAACTTGTAATCGTCCTGTATGGAGTGGAGTGTTGGAAGCGATGATTATGTATGTTTGTACAGAGGAAATAAATACTAGTAGTTTACTTACTACAGAGAAAACAGTAGAATGAAAAACCTTGAGATGCTGTACGAATTACGATGAAGCTCCCATTTTGTAGAATTTTTATATCCAAATTCGGACAAAAAAAAAATATATATATATATATTCTCTCAAATATTTTTCTAGCAGCAGCAACGAATCAGTCAGCATATTTGCTTACTGAAAATCATGAATCACGAACAAGCAAACTAATAATATTTTGAACCGTTTTAAATTTGACAATAATTTATAGAATATTTACAGGCAAAGAACATTAGCCATACACACAACTTCGAAACAGAAAATAAGGAATTTCGCTTGAAACATTCAACCAATGAACATTGCCCATAGCAAGAAAGTATAAACCTCCAAATAACGAAAAAACCAGAAAATTAACACAACCAAAAATAATCCTTTAAACCTCCAAATACCAAATAAGTGCCACATAGCAAGAACTGGAATAACACAAAACCACAACAAAAGCGAAGTTCCACAAGAAACACAATATGTCTTCATAAAAAGAACACACACACTTGAAAACTAGCAACCAAACCAAACCAATAAGAACATTGGCCACACATAAAACTTCACATCAAAAAAAGCATTTCAAACAAACTCTCCTCAGTACTCCTCCTCCTGTTCTTCATCATCCCCATCACCAGACTCGGCTCCAACCTCCTCGTAATCCTTCTCCAGAGCAGCCAAATCCTCCCTAGCCTCCGAGAACTCACCTTCCTCCATACCTTCACCCACATACCAATGCACAAACGCGCGTTTCGCGTACATCAAATCAAACTTGTGGTCGATCCTTGAAAACACCTCAGCAACGCTAGTCGAGTTGGAAATCATACACACGGCCCTCTGCACCTTGGCAAGGTCTCCACCGGGGACCACAGTAGGAGGCTGGTAGTTGATCCCGCACTTGAAGCCCGTCGGGCACCAGTCGACAAATTGGATGGTCCTCTTGGTTTTGATGGTGGCCACAGCCGCATTTACATCTTTGGGGACCACATCACCACGGTACATAAGGCAGCAAGCCATGTATTTCCCGTGGCGCGGGTCGCACTTGACCATCATGGACGAGGGCTCGAAGGCCGTGTTGGTGATCTCGGCCACGGATAGCTGTTCATGATAGGCCTTCTCGGCTGAGATTACAGGGGCGTATGAAGAGAGCATGAAGTGAATCCTCGGGTACGGGACAAGATTGGTTTGGAACTCGTTTACATCAACATTCAATGCACCGTCGAATCTCAGTGAAGCCGTCAGGGAAGATATCACCTGGAAAAAAGTCAATAACACATTTTTCGATTCATCGGTAACAAAGTTACTTCATTCTTCGATAGGGAAGAAAGGGGAAAAAAGAAATTTACCTGAGAGATGAGCCTGTTGAGGTTAGTGTAGGTGGGCCTCTCAATGTCGAGGGACTTGCGGCAGATATCATAAATGGCCTCGTTATCGAGAAGAACAGCTACGTCAGTGTGCTCAAGGAGTGAATGAGTGGAGAGAACAGAGTTGTAAGGCTCAACAACAGCAGTTGAAACCTGAGGGGAAGGGTAAATGGTGAAACCAAGCTTCGACTTTTTCCCATAGTCGACAGAGAGCCTCTCGAGCAAGAGGGAACCGAGTCCAGAACCAGTGCCACCACCAACGGCGTGGAAGACTAGGAAGCCCTGGAGACCCGTGCAGTTATCTGCAAGCTTGCGGATTCTGTCGAGGCAAAGGTCCACAATTTCCTTGCCAATCGTGTAGTGGCCCCTGGCAAAGTTGTTGGCAGCATCTTCTTTGCCGCTGATGAGCTGCTCCGGGTGGAACAGCTGGCGGTATGTGCCCGTGCGGACCTCATCGATTACAGTTGGCTCCAGGTCAACAAACACCGCACGAGGGACGTGTTTGCCTGCACCAGTTTCACTGAAGAATGTGTTGAAGGCATCATCACCTCCGCCAACAGTGGTATCACTAGGCATTTGTCCATCAGGCTGATATATCATAGATATGAGATATTCAATTAAACAAGATAAAAGAGGAGCGATAGAACAACTCGGCAAAGCGGAAAAAATATAACTCAGATCTCAGATCGAGGAATAGAATTCAACAATTGTTCAGGATAATCAACTTCAACACAAAACTTTACTGATATGAGAATGAAATTCAAAATACCCCTAGATCAGCGAATTTTACAGTGCAAGCAGTATTAGCTTTTCATTTCGGTTAACAGAACTATGAAAGTGAAGCTAGAAAACTTCAGAAATTCGCTAGATAAAGTAAGGGGACATGAAATTAGCAGCTCTTAGTTTCACAGATAACGAAAATTATCAAACGTTAAACAAGAACAAATCGCACTTACGATATCATACCGGAAAAAA